CACATATTACATATATTTCAAATATTTTTTTTTGAAGCCAAATATCGGACAAGAATCAATCAATATTGCAAATTATTTAAGTGCAAATTACGTCTTGACAACCTTAGGAATGTCTTATTTCTCTGTTGGCACGAAAGGACACACCTCCGACCAGTAACAACAACCGAGTAGATATAGCTATCTTCTCTTCTGGATGTTTTTAAAGATTATTAATAAATATCTTCCAAGAAATGATGGAAAAATAAGAAAAACTTTTTTAAATAAATATCTTGACCAAAGTCGCAGACTAAAGCTCTTACACTTTTTATTTGTGTAACAAAACTAATTTTAAATTTACATTTTTTTTAGCCTCGTTCCAATGCTTAAGTCGTAGGGAGTGTCAGATCCAGCTCCAAGTCCTGATTCGCTTCCACATCCAGTTGCAATTCCAGCCGCCACTGTCAAAGCGCTAAACTGGGCCTTAAACATGTCCGTAATGGCACGTTCCTGGAATGCGGCTACCGCCGCAACGGCTGAGGGTGAATCTTGAATGGGGGCCGCTGCGGCTGAGGCGGAGCCGGAGGCTGACGCGGTTGTCGATGATACCGAGGATGGGCACATTGGCATACTGGCAATAGCGACAACCTTATATGCGTCCCCGTTGAGTTCCTTGGCCGAGTACTCCGGCTGGCAGGTGCTGGCCGATGATGAGGATGTGGGAGTTTCGATGCGTCGCGCATATCTAGATTTTCGCCGGTGGTTATATTTACTCGTGCTCAAAGAATACGATGTGCAGCCAAGCGGGCCCGTAACTGTCCGAACAGCTGCTGTTGCTACTTGTTGGTGGTGTGGCTGGCGTGAGGGAACGGAATATCGGCCAAGTATAAGGGATCCGAAGTGGCCGACTCTCGATTAAACGGTGCTCTCTGCGGTCCCTGGTGATAGATTCAAGACCGAACAGTTCTCGCGATTTTGTTAGTACTTGAACCAGAGCCAGGCAGAGGCAAGCTGTTGCCACTGCCCATCAATGCATTAATTTTCGCCTGCACCGACGATAACGAAGTATATTCCAAAAGAATTTCGGCGGCAGTGCTGCAGGTGTCACCGTCATCGCTGGATGAACATTGTTCTTTGGATGCCAAATACAAGCGGGTGATGATGACTCTTTTTTCTTCGTCGCTATCACTGCTCCGCTGCACTTTCGCTGTGGCCATTCACGAAACCTGGGTCAGATTGTTTCTGTTGACTAGCAGCAGCGGCTGCTGCTTGCTGCAGTATAATATTTTCAATATCTTGCAGTGTACGCAGTTTCTCTGGCGATGAATGTACTTCGGGTTTACTGAGCAGTTGTTCTCTTGCCTATAGCAGTTTTTTGGGCTAACTTCGGCGGCATCAGTTTTTGTTTCTTAACCCTGAATCGCATTCGGCAGACAAGGGCAATCGCAGCAAGGGCCATAACATCATGAGTGGGAGAATCGGGCTTGCTGCCAGGAGTAAGGCCTAGTCTCTGCAAGCTCCGTAGATAAAGAGTTCAGCACTGCTCCACTGACGATAAAGACTTCTCACTTGGACCAACATGCCTTCGATTTTCAATCGATTGTTTTCCAATTCGCGTTGTACGGTAACTTCATAGGGTCGAGGTCGAGGTCGAGTGTTTTGTATTGTCATCATCAGGTCTGTCTGCCCTTTCATCTGGCCTACTTAGACTATCCTGAAATTGACTGCAAAGTAATGTCAAATTGCTCTAGGCCCTTTTTTATATCAAACAATACGTTCTTCTGCTCGCGCAAAAAGAAGCCCTTCGAGCTTGAAGCGCATTGAGCTATTGTGCGTTTGCTTAACTTGCATTTGTCTTTAGTCGATGAGTTCGGAATTCGAGTTGTGTGCATCTGTTCCATCTCTCCGGATGTGGTCGTGATCATATCGAACACTCTGTTCGATATCGCTTTGTGTTCGATTATTGTTGTTATCGTGTGATAAGCCAATTGATAGTGATGATGTTGACAATAATGGTGTTGCTTTTGGCTCATTGCTAACGGAAGATTTTCGCAAACCAGAAAACTCCAATATATGTAGCCTACGTTCTCGCTCCTGATCGACCTCCAATGACAAATGGGGCTGATGTAGAAACTGTGCATAAAGCAATTGTGTTGCTAAAAACTGTCTTTGCTGCTGCTGCTGCTGCTGTTGCTGCTGTTGCTGGCGTTGTGTGCTCTTGTGCTGGGAGAGCACTTTATTGTGTATATGCGCGCCAGTAATGCATCACGATTACAGCTTGTATCCAATTGCTCCCGATTCCATTTGCGCTGAGGGTCCTCCAGCTTTGGCCAGTGCTGGAGCATGTCGTGCTGCTGCCGCAATAGAATTTCCGACATTATTGTGGATGTTGTAGTCGGCACCACCGCATTGCTTGTGGGTGTATTAAATATGTGCTCCATCACATCCGAGTTGACCTTGGTAACTGCCTCATTCGTGGTCTGTTGATGATCAAAGAATTGTGCATTCGGGACAGTTGTTGTTGTCGATGATGATGATGACGATTGCGAGATCGTTTCCATTATATTGCCAACGGGAATGGAAAAGTCCTTCGGCTCCTTATTCTCTTCGGCGCTTTCATTTCCATTTAGGTGCATTTGTCTATAACTATTTGACTCTCTTCTAGGGGATAGCGCTTCTGAAGTATCATCTAATCTGCCGCTTTTACTGTTGCTCTTGGTATTCTTGCAATTTTATTATCCATAGCAATGCAGGTATTCGAATTATCCGGAGGTCATAGCCTTTCTCGCGCTGCTGTCGATGCCGTTAAATGATTTTAAATACGTTTTACATTCACTTCAGAGTTTAATAACTCCACCCATGGTCGAGACATTTAAATTTTGTTTGATACTCCACTCTATTTCAAATATATTTAATGTTTTTATTTCGATTAGAAGACAATCGGAAAAAGATGCTTTAAACAATATCAAAGTTTTATACGTTTCTAGAGTTCACAAACTAAACTTGTAAAAATAGTAAGCGTTTTGCCGTATTCTAATACCATTAAGCATTCAGTGCCCTAAAAATGGGTACATTGAAAGAGCTGGAAATGTTTTGAAAACTATACTGTATGTAGCTCAGTAAAATGTAATAATATATCCTAGCTGACCCGTTCACAACTCGAATCATAAATACAGAGTATGTGCTGCCATATTCTATTTTGATTCTTTGGGTTTTGGCACAACAAATAAAAATAAATCTATGGGAGAGCCAAATTTGTATTTGTATAGATTCCACTTTGACCTGCTATGATGAATTTTTATTCTTGACCTACACCACCCTCTGCCACAATTGAGATTTACTGAAGTAATTTCCTTGACTGAGTTGTTAGTAAATCTATATTCTTCTCGTGTGGATTTTTTTTTAAATAAAGCCCTCTCACGAGCACAGAAACATTAGCTTTTACTACACACTGTTTACAAGATTATAAAGAGTCGATAAGTTTTAGTGTACTCGTGTATTCGCAACTTAGGTAGTGTTTATATTTTGGTGGGATTATTTGACAGGCTTATACTGCACATTGTCAACAGGGTATGGCGCACTCGGTTGCCACTGACGGCAAGGCAACGTCGTTCTTAGACTCCGGCTCTCGTCATTGAGGCAACAGACAGGCGCACTAACCATAACAACGATAACCCTGTTGGCCTGCCTGTTGCAGATTTGAATAAGAGAATATGCACACATTTGATATGTGTATGTACACATGCGAGTATCTCCATCAAATTTAACAATTTATGTATTTCAATAGCATTTCATATTATGCCTGGTCCAAAATTTCACCGATTATCACACGCTTAACGGGTTTCTCTCTTGCTTTTGTTTTTATTTTCATATAGGTAGGCACATCCACAAATGCTCCAATTCGACTGAAATAAATTTAATTGTTTTGATTGGCATTATAATACAGACAGTTCTCTTGCCGCCGAGTGAGTGGGTTCGCAAGTATCCCCTTGTTGTCTGTTTGTATTGCTGAGTTGATTTATGGCTGATGCTTTTAACGCAATTTAGATGTATATAAGTATGGCATTTTATATAGATACATTTTCTCTTAATATGGCCGAGCATTATTTTCAAACTATTTTCACCAATATACAAAATGATACAGCTGTCCAAATTGAAAATTCAATTTGAATTTTGTATTATTAATGATTTTGGCACATTATCGCACTCCATTTTATATAGAAATTTTATTAATGGGATATACATCAAATGCAGGTTAAGCACAGTTATTTGTATGAATTGTAGTCGTAGTAGTCCCAAATATGAGTTGTGGAAGGGCACACTCCTTAACCATATACAAATTTCACAGATTTAAACGGAATAAAGCGAGTTTCGGACATCAGGTATATGAGTTTTCAGATTTCTTTGATTTCACTAAACTGTCTGCCCAGCAATTTGACGAATTACTTCCGACTTTGGGGGCTTTTAAGCTAACAATTTACAGTGGTATTCGACTCTATCGCGTTTTTCATCGTCTCTCTCTCCCCGAGAGAGGCCGGCGTGGGCCAATGCAGAGAACGATTGCGCGGTGAGAAAAAACCCATCAAATGTTCTCTTGGCAAAATTTCCAAATGCAACTTATTAGTTCGTTGGGACTAGTAAAACGCAATACGTCGGCTAGTTGAACAGTTGATTTTCTTAACAATAATATAATAATTCGGCTATAGACCCTATTATAAACGACATTAATTAACACTATATTTAAAAACAATCAACATACGGGTATGTATGCCGTCAATAAATTTTTTTTAACAATAAAGAATATTCTTGTCGTCACCCTGTATCCAACAAGATGTCAAATTTAAACGTCGGGTGGCCTTCTTGATCAAAAAGTATTTAAGATATAGGTCCTTCAAATGATGCTCTGGAACTAGCCCAAAAATCGATATTTATCGAGCATACATTCTAGTTCTTAATGTTTTGGAGATCATCGTCTAAATCATATATTACCTTAATAGGTTGACATGTCCTTTTTTATAAATTGGTTAATAATTGTACGATTTGTGTTTGCTCATTTGGAATGGACACAGAGTACGAAACTTGAAATAATTCACATTTTGAGCGGCTTCAGCATGAATAAGTAAACAGATGTTAGTATCAAATTGGGAGTTATTTGGCAAACTATCGCAATGAAGTATTATCGATAAGCTTCATCAGAGTACAAAATTGGTGTTCGCTACTGTGAGCTGTTGCGCAGCTGTTGCCAGTGGCGCCCTCTATTAAAAGGATTTTTTGTGCTTAAAGAAAAAAAATTTCCCACTAATATTATTAATTTTATATGTAAGTAAATATTTAAACATATTCATAACAAGAGTAGCGACTTTTTATACTAAAATTAAAACAATTAATTTTTTTTTTAGTTTAGCTTACAACAGGACGGACATGATTAGAATGATTTTGTTAGTTCTTATCAGGCATCTAATTACATATCCTATGCATACTCCAACATTATTAGCAAAAAGTTTTCCGATTTAAATAGGGAATAGGCTTACGAATTTGATGATGAATTAGAAGATGTGAATTTGACACAGAATTTAAATAAAATAGGATTAGGCCAATATAGTGGGGAAATTTTACAATCGCTTCGTTTTATTCCGACTTCTCTTTCAATATTAGTTGCAGGGCAAAGCCCCTTAGGGGATGGTTTCTAATGCGCAGACGCGTACTTTGAAGTGGGCCAATAGGAATGTGTACATTTCTGTGATATATATATATATATATATCTATATATATGTGTGTGTTGTATACGTTAGTATGTGTACCCAAGTGGGTTGTGGGTAAATTAAATATGGCGTCTTGAAAGGGCCCACCCAATGAAACATTGGTCTAGCGGTATAGAAGTCTTAATGAACAAGTGTGAAAACATTCGAAAGGAGATCACAAAATACAACAAAATAATATTGGTATACTTATCGTCAGTAAAAAAATCTAGCTAGAATAGGTCGGGCGATCAAATAGTATCGCTGTTGCTAAGCTCAAATAATGACTTATTGTTCTAGCTAAGATATATTCAGCATCAAACTATTTATATAAAAATTCAATTTTCGAACTAAAGTTTCTAAGTCAGTTGCATAAACATATATATTACATACACATAGTATTAGCTATTAAAAACGTTGAAGAACGTTTAAATATGATAATGCCTTAAAAAGGAGATTGAAAATCAAAGCTTATCCAACCAAAAATACCTGTTTACAGACAATTAAACAAGTTTTCTCTGAATTTGAAATGTCGGAATCGTCAAGGAAAGAGCGAAACTTTTCTATAATTTTTCTACGCATGTTACCTTGAATATCGATTGTTCGTTGTGGAATCCTGTACGCCGCAATCCTGTTTGGAATTAGACGTCACAATCGATGGATGGGAATTTAAAACGTGGTGAGATGTCGCATGTACGGAAGGCAACAGACTCGGTGAGAATCGAAATGGGAAGTCGCTGCAATTTAAATAAATAATGTATTAATTGTTGCAACCATTGCGTTTTTAGGCATTTCATAATCACCTCGGTAGCGTTGTATTAATTGGTAATGAGGAGGGATAGGGTGTTCTAAAACTAGATGCTGAGTAAACCGACGGCGTGTGCCTGAAAAGAATTAACGTTAAATATAACAATAATTATCAAATTCAAAACCAAGACAAAAACATATTAAAACAGCTGCACAGTTAGATTTGATAGGTTGTTGTTCAGAAGAAGAGACATTAAACTAAACAACTATAAATCTGCTTGAGGTCTGAAGCGTTTTTATCTAGTGGAGCTTCCAATCTTGGACTCAGGTTGATACCATGCATTACTCCCCCCAACTGCTCTGCCCCCATAGACAGCTGCAGCCAATTGCATTCATAACAAAAATATTTTAATGCCCTATTTTAAATGTTATGTGCAATATGCCAACTTAATGTAGTTTCTGTATCAAGAGAAAACGTCACAATTTGTTGGTTATTCCCTTAGGAACCGTTTTTAAACGTAATCTTTGTTTTCATGTGTTCAACCAATCGGAATCTACGTTGTTAGTTTGAATGCTGATCATCTCTATATATAAAACTGTTTTTCCTAACTTATTTACCGACAGATTGGCCCAAAACCGAAAGGAAGTTCTCCGTAGTTAACTCATGTGATGAAAGTGCATGCCAAGATTGGGTTTTGGAAATTTATACAAGTGTGGCAAAATCATGAAAAATTTATGTATACATCTTTTTTGCTTACCATACGATCCGCATGAAGCTCAGTTTAAATAATCTCGGCTTAAGTTCAAACTTTTGAAAAATCTATCCCTCCTTGGGGGAAGGAATGCAGAATTCAGGCTTCCGATTTGCTTAATTTCAATATTGTTCATAAGAACTTAAAGAACACGTGCTTCAGTGGTGTTTCTTTCACCAGCATGAGTGGTAAATTGGTGAAAAATGAAACTATGAAAGTTTTTTTGTTTTCCCCTGCTATCGCCTTTAAAACAATTTTCTGAGATCTTTAGGAAAATTTGTTTGATACGAAATTCACCGTTCCCTAATGGAAAATAATTGTCAAAGGTTTAATGAACGTAAATTCATTTGTCGGCCTCAAGATTCTCACCAGATTCTTGCAAGACCGGAGAACATATTTATTTATATTTAACTATAAATATAAACAATACCAGCTACCTAAAATCGAACTAGACACCCATCCCTACATAATTTCGGTCTCAACATACCTTACCATATTTGCAATACATTCGGTATAATGGGCAGTTGAAATTGTTTTTAATTGTTAATAACTAGCGTCGTTTCCGACAAAAAAAAAAAAAACAATATCAATCGATATCACGTTTTTGAGAAAGTCTCTACCGTTTGAAGATTGTATACATGCATCTTGACAATGTCTTCCTCAGGTTACATAAAAAAAACATTCGAATATTCTAAACGCAATAAGATCTAATTGGGAAAATTTTTTCAAGATCGGTTAAGAGATACAGAAGTTATTAGCGAAGGCGGCAATCCAGGCACAAAGGCTCAAGATTTTCTGTATATATACTCTTTATATATATGTATACTAATGTTTGTATATCGAAAAGTAAGGAGTTACTGCATCATCCATAGAAATTTCAGGGAAAGGAATTTAATTTAGTTTGCATTCAGTAATAAAATTTGAATAGTTTTAATTAATCAACTTACCATGAAGCTACTTGAGACATATCAGGACTTAGCATCGGATAAGGATATTGGGTGGCAGCAAATGGATATAAGGCAGGACGAGTAAGACCTAAAAAGAATATATACAAATACTATAATTAAAAGCATCATTTAAATATAAGAAGTGAGAACATTACAACCGAAATTCATACCACAAGTTTTTCAATTTGGCTGTTACGCAAGTGTTTGTATAAGAAAATAGAAAAAAAAAGATTTATATAAAATACAATTTTCGGCATGTTAGCTAAAACGTCTATAACAAACCCCATAGATTAAAGAAACAGAAGCAATTATATGTATATTTTATATATCTATATATTAAACTGTTTGTCCTGACTGACTGATTGGTGATCACACACAGCCCAATCCGCAAAAGCTAGGGAGCTAAAATGTTCACTGTAGTTAGCTTATGTGATGAAGGTGCACGTTAAATCCGGGTTTCGATAAATTCCACTCGCAAGTATGGAAAAATCGCGAAAAACTATAAGAGCTACAGACATGAAATTGATGTAGGTGCTCCTAGTTCCCGCGCAGATCGAGTTTGTTACCGATAATCGATAACTTACTTCGTTTCAAGCAATCGATAAACATCGATATCGACATCCTGTTTTTTTTTTAGCAAATTGGGTAAATAATAAGAGCTAGAGCCACCAAACATGATATTTTGGTTCTAGAATGTTATAGATATTTCAAGTATCTTTCATTTCATACCTATCGCCACCTCCCCGCTACCACCCAAGAACATAAAGATCGGTTAAAAAAAACCAAAGTTATATGTAACTGCGCAATTGAATGGGGCAGCAGCTTTAAGAATTTCTGCATACATGTACACACACACATTCATGCGCGTCTGCTTCGCATTCTAACAGCATGGTAATTGCATCTTTTTTTTGTAATGTTATTTAAGTTACTTTTTTTATCATAAGTACTTAATTGTTGGTGTGGCTGCTAAGTAGAGGCAAAGACAAGACAAACACTAAGATGAGTAACGCCATACAACAAAATGCTACTATGCAGCTTGATTTTTTGAAAATTGAGAACGAAATCGAAATCAATAGCATTGCGCTCTCACAGCCGAGAGAACGAAAAAGCTTAAAATAGAATTTGCTCTCACCTTCGGCTCTATGAGGGCCGTGCAAGCAATTATGTTTGTATGCGTGTGAATATACATACATAACAGCATATTTGAATGTGTTGTTATCCACTGCTTTGGCAAGTCTCTGGCTGGAAAAGAAACAATTTTCTTAGTTTTTTAAAGCAGATCACGACCTAGCCAAAATTTCTGTTGATATATGAATGCATTTTGTGTATTTTATTTTATTATTTTTGTTGTTCGAATTATAAAGAACAAAGTAACCAGGGAACACCGCGAGGAGACTATTATAATTATAATGGGGTCATAACTAAATATGACCTTCGGGTATTTTCTGCGGAGCCAACCTTAGTACACAAAATGCATTCATATATCGACACAAATTTGGGATAGGTCATGATCTGCGCTAGAAAACTAACAAAATTAATTTCGTGCCAGCTAAAGCCAGAGCAGTGAATAACAACACAAACATACATACTTTAAAGATCTTATGCATGTATAATTCACGCATACAACGAAAGGTGCACGCACGCTATTGGCTGAGACAAGAACTTTTCTCGAGCATACACTGTCCAAAAAGAAAAGTGAAATCAATCTATGTGTGCTATTTTCTTAACATAGTTATTGCGCAAGAAGCGCCTTGTGTAAAAATTATATAAGTTCTTAAACTTTCCTGTTAAATTAATCGTTAATATCTAGGGTAATAGATCATTTAAATAAAGCATGGATTTCATGGATAAATCACAAGCACTTCGCGTCGATCGTAAGTTCTAAACTTTTTCGCTCAATGTACTTCGAAAACGAAGCGACGCAAAGCAGCATCGACCAGCTTTGCTGAAGGCAGGCTGGCGACTAACTTCGTAGCTCGTGTCAGCATCAGCAAGCCACGACTTCGGCATTCGTTCGCCTGGTCTTTGGAGAACGAACAACCAGTCGGCAGGCATGCCATACGAAGCCTCAAAGGCCAGATGAAAGGCCAGGCCAGAAATTTTGCGTCGCATTCAAATGTATGGACGTTACTCATCTTAGTGTTTATATTGTCTTTGGTAGAGGCATAGCAGGTGGTGCGGTCTGTCGCGAGTTCGAGCCCTACCGGGGAAAGTATTATTATTTTTTTTTTTTTTGCTGGTGTGGCTGTTGAGTAGAGTCGACAGCAAGTAATGCGGTCAGTTGCCAGTTCGAGCCCTGCCAAGGGAACTTTTTTTATTAATTTATTTGGTGTTGGAATAAGAGGGTTCAGGGTATGCCCTAGTCGGGAGCTCCCGACTAGAACCTCTTACTTGTTTGAAAATCAATTCTTGTGAAGTTTCGCGCTCAAATTCTTTTTCGCAACATCAAAGATTGCTTGGGGAAAAGTGCGATTCTAATATTTTTTGATGAAGTTTTAAGTTTTTTCAGAATTGCTTCAAACTTATTTTCAAAGCTCTACATAAGAACTTAAAGAATATATTTTTCAGCGATTTGGGAAATTACAACCGCAATAGTGGTAAATTGGCGGAAAATGTTTATATAAAAGGTGTTTGTTGACCGTCTGATCAGTGTCAAATGTATTTTTAAAGCTTTTTGGGATATCTTATTTTATACGTGCCACGGGCAAGGCCGGGCTATACCCGCTAGTATGTATATAATATTTAGCAGCACACACCAGCTTTCTGTAACTAATCGATCAATGAAATGGTTTTAAATATTTAATTACTTTTGAAAAAACATATAAAATGGTTAAAAAGTATATTCACCACACAAAAAATATATATATTATTCATTGGGGGATTAACTAAAGAGCTGAATAAAGGCAATGTCTGCTTGAAAGTTTATATCCCAAGTCGAACTCGAGTTTGCGCTCTTGTGGGAATGTTTTCAATATGAGAGATATTGTGCAGCTGAGATGAGAGTTGGAATAGTAAGCCCCCGTGATGTACCCGGCTTTATTAAGCCGGGTTTTTTGTTTATGTACGAAATTCTAAAAAGAACTTACCGCAGTATTGAGCTTATTTTCTCGCACATAATAATGCCAGTTGGCATGACGATTACTGAGTATGTGTATTGGTATGGAGAAAAGAGAACCCTTAATATGAAGCTTACAAGGGCGAACAAGAATTAAACTGTCGTCAATACCTTCGTATTCTGGCTCAATTGGTTTTTATTTTCGAAAACGTGTTGTAAAGATTTCGATTTTAACGTTTAAAATTGAAATTTGAATTTGCTGAGAGGATCAGTGGGACCAAACAAAGTAATACATTTATATAAAAGCGAGAGACATACGTATATCGATAAAATTAGTTATTTAAGATATAACTAGACGGCCACACAGAATAACGAAGAAAAGAAAGGGAATGGTCGTGAAAAGGAGAGATGTGTCGATGATCGAGAAAAAACAAAATTTAAACCATTTAAAAGAATTACTTTAAAATTTAAACTGTACTTTGAAAATACTTTAGGAACACATAATCATTATACATATGTTACTTGTAAGAAGCTATCAGCTACCAATAAGCTTTGATTTCGCAAAGGAAATTATGCATTGCTGAATCAACCTATTTATGCAACCTATTGGTCTTTCTTATATGAATCGGTTGATATGAATTCTGTTATTAATTTTGTTTAATAACACAGGATGAATAACTCCCTCTTAGATATGTGACTTCACAAGTCAAATCCTTTGACTATTGCTTTAAAGCCACCCTGGTTCACTCCCAGATTTTTAAAGCTAAAAAATATAAAATCTAAATATTTTTAAAAGTTTAATAAGCCTGGTTCGAGTTCCGACCTGGCTAAATATTCCATAGCTAAGTCGAGCATCTGTCTTCTAAATTCTCCATGCTATGACAATTATTTAACTCGTCGCTAAGGGCAATTTGCCCAAAATCCGAGACAGTTTTACAATTTTGTAGACTTAAAGAGTAAGTCTTCGAGTTTGCCATATTTTTTTCTATCGGGATGGATGAAGCAATAACTCTGATTCTGATATGCTCTTTGCTTACTTTTTCCAATCAACATACTCTTCCATCTATACCAATAATAATTCTTACCCTTATGCAATTCCTCTCTCCTTTTAGCTATAAATTTTTTGAAATCTTCTGACTCTCCTGGGCTTGACATTATTCCGAGTTGTCTACTCAAGGAGTGTAATTCTTCCCTTCTTCGTGCATTGCTAAAGCTTTTTAATCTACCCCTTAAATCTTCTGTCTTTTCATCACATTGGAAAGAATCTTCTATCATTTCTCTCCACCGGAAAGGTGGAGAGTGTGATTTACAAAATTACAGGCACGTTGCAAAACTGTCCGCTATTACTAATTTAGATTAATTGAAAAAATAACCACTTCAAATTTTCAGCATTTCTGCAAATCAGTTGTCTCAACATTCTAAGTTATTGGCCTATTTTGCTAGCAAATCTTCTGCTAGCGTGTCAATAACCAAATTTAATTTCTCCACCCCTCGTAAAATATCATCATTCAAAATAAATGTTTCACATGATATGTTCCCAATCAATTGTGAACCCAAATTTTGGCCTCCACACATGATTGTTCACGAGTTCAAGCCTAAAAAGCGTTACCAGCCTATCACCCTTCCAGTCCCTAAAATATAGGATACCATTTCTGCCTCAAAAAACTAACCTTCTTCTGACCAAATCTTTATTCATTATCAGAATGTTAGAGATCTTATTTCAAAGATTAAAAATCTTTTCACGGCCAGCACTTCCGTCGATCCTCAACCATATCTGATTTTGAGGTTTTATCGAATAACATTATTTTGTATAGAAATGATCGGCCGACTCGAGGTGGTGGGGTGTTAATTGCCGTTAAAATCACTCTCCTGTCAGAATTCTTCTGTTTTAGTTCGCCTACTAATGCTGAGATTGTCTCAGTTAAGGTGTCTTTTCCTACACGGAATAACTATATAACATGCTCTAATGTCCCTCCTTCTTCTGATATTCAAGTTTATATGAATCATATTACTTGTATTAAAGAAGTTTCTTC